TGCTTCCTCCTTTGACACCCGAACACTCGGGAGAGTTAAAAAAAAGGCGCTTGCAGATGGTGTGTTGGTTTGATCATACTGTTTTTCTCCTTACACCTGGTTGAGGTCAGCTAGGAAACGAAGATTTGCTTTGAGGGAGGCGGGTAATTTGGAGCTTTCGAGTCAGGCTGGGTTGGGGGAGGATAATGCAGGGACCCTTTGAGGATCTAAAGAAAGAAAGATATGGAAAGGGCATAGAAAGGGAAATAAGACAGGAGAATGTCAAAGGCAAATCCTGCTGTATCACCCAGAAACTTTGCTTCACATAGACACACACACATTCCCTCTCTCTCTCTCTCTCTCTCTCTCTCTCTCTCTCTCTCTGTCTCTCTCTCTCTCTCTCTCTTATGCTTGTAAGGAAGGGGCAGTCATTTATAAGGTTGTTTCTGTAATAAAACATGCTCTGGTTTCAAGACAAGCTGCTTTCAAAGAGGTTTGGTTAAATCATAACCTCCTCTTACATTAACGGCTGTGTGTATTTCTGAGCTCTGTAGCTCATTTGTACCCTCATAAACCAGTTGTCGAGGAGGCCTCATAGACGACTGAATAGGACTGTGAGACGGAACTATATTGCTTCTGAAACTTCATGTAAATGATTCACCAAAGCTTTTTAATACATAATCATGCAGTTTTCCATTTTGGCCAAAATCTGACCCTTATTTTAACATCTGAAAAGGCAGAAATATAAGTGGAGAGAGTGTGAAGGGAAATCTGTTTCTTCCTTTTGGAGGAAAATTTAGTTGTATTGGCCCTTCCTAGCAAAAATAACACAGCTGGGGAAGGTGACATTTGCTCCAGTTACAGAAAATTATTTTGGCAATGATGATGTTCTTATATTTTTGCTTTTAAGCACCTCGATAACTGAGAAGTTTTTTTAAAACCAGTTTTGCCCCTTTTCTCTTTTAAATGCAGTTTTATTATCCTGGGATGGCTTAGTTTACAATGTATTTCTGCTAAGCTAGTTAAATACAACTAAGATGTAAACGTGTTTATGGTTGGAAAGTAGTTGTAAGAAAACACAGAACCACATTTGGGGCCTCCTCATCTCTGTGATACCCACAAAAAATGGTTAACAGAATTCCTGAGCCTGGTTAAAACCCACTAGGTTTAAAGACCCTGATGCTGGCAAACTCAGTTTTCTGCCCGTGTCCTAGTCTGTAATACCTGTTTTATTGTGCCACCTACTGGTTCTACTTAAGATTGCTGTCACTGTTGTGTAATAGATTTTCTGCAGCATTTGTAGATTTAGCATTCTTGTAAAATGATGCTAATATCCCCAGCGCACTGAGCTGCCCATGGGTAACAAAGGCCACTAAGTTTAGGGACCCTCATTCTTCCTGTGCTTCCGTTATTTCTCGGCTCTACGGAAGGTACTTTGGAGACATTTCACTCACTCCTTTCTGATGCTGGACCAGAACCCCCAGGCAAAGCCGAAACTAGTGGCAAAGTGGTCTATTCAGAGATAGGCGGAGTAGGTACGGAGTATAGAAATTTTCTGCAAATAAATAAAAGCCTGATTTGTATTTGATTCTCTTCCTAAATTTGGTTCCTTTTTAGCTTAGCTTCCCTCTCTTGTTCTTACTAAAAGTTTTAGTTATAGAATTAATAAATTTAAAAGTTGGCACACAGATGTGTATAAAGCTGTCCCACCACCCCTCCGGAGAAGCTCTTGTTAACAGTTTGGGGTGTATCATTTTCTTTGCATATCCTTTTGTTCCATATCCTGGACTCTCAGTAAAAGTATGACCAGTCATTTTAGAAGCTACCAAATTGGGAACAAATCTGTTAGACATGTGACTGGACAGTGAGTTTGATGCTGTTCATAGTGATTTGAATTTTGCAGACTTTTTTTTCTCTATATTGTCCAGTGATACATTATTCAGTGAGGAGTTTCAAAACGAGGTATTCTAATGCTAGCATTTCTTCTTCATTTCTTCGCTGAAATACTTCTATAATAAGAAATATCCCTTCTTCAATGATTGAGTTACTCTTAAGGTACAGTTCTGAACAAATAAACATACCTCTACAATTCTTTTTTTCATAAAAATCAATCAGGTTTGGTTAGAATGGATGCTTTGTATTAGACTTTTTTTCTCTTATGATTACAAGTCTTGCAAAGCATTAATTTCCTTAAATTTAGATAAAACATAAAAATCAAAAAGCAAAAGTGATTTAAATAATGTCTTAAAAATGATAAAAGATATGGCAGGTTAATGTGTCATTCATCTCTAAATGGATTCTGTAGTCGTTGCTGTGGGCATTAGAAAAAGTCATGGACGGCTTTGGAGTTATAATTTGGATGATGGAGTTAGAATTTGAAGCAAAAGGAACTCCAGAGCCCATCGTCTTAATTCCGTTGTGCTGCTGGTACTGGTAGTAAAGGGCGCAGGGCAGCCTGAGGTGTGGAGGCTATGGCAGCGGAGCAGCTGGGGAGTGGCCAGGCCCTATATGAGATCTCACACAGCATGTAGGCACTAGTAACTCTTAAACTGAATGTAGTCTGAGTTTTTTTGAAGAGTGGAGGATATTGACCTCTAAGGCTAGATATGTTAGCAAAGAGGCAGCTGAAATTACTCTCTAGAAGTTGGAACCAACAAATTTAGTGATGTGTGTACAGTATGTATATACAAAAATTGTGTGCATGTTTGTTGATATAAATGATTTAGAAGGCAAAAGAGTTTTGTTTTGTTTTAATCTCATTTGATCTTCCTCCGTATGAAAAAGAATTGCCCTTTGGCAGGGCTGGGATGCAGATCTCCTGCTTGAGTCTCGAGACCAGGGCCCTTTCCTTATACACCTGAGAATATGAGTGCTTTTATTTAAAGGATTTGCATCAAGATACTGTCTAGTGAAGTGGATGAATCTGTAAATTAAATTTAAAAGGTTTGGGGGAGAGGTGGTCAGCCATGGGTCAGGGCTGCTGAATTATCTGACCTCATTGATACAAGCAGGCGATCTCACATCTTTTGTTTACGGTCTGCTATGGGACACTGGACAGCAATTCTTAGAACCATATCCATCTGTACAGCTGCTAGGCTGGGAACTGGTTAATAATAGATCCCAGGACACAAAAGAGGTTTTCATCCTTCATTATGAAATCATCCATTTTTCACTGGCTGTTGGGGTTTGTTCTCGCTGGGATACATAAGAGGGTGGTGGCACCATTGATTTGAGCAGCCTGGTATCAAATTGTGTTCGCAGATTATAATACGTCCTGTGAAGTAGGAAAATATAATTTTGAAGTCAGGGCCTTATGTTGAGTTAATGATGATATTCACGTGTTGTCATGAGACCCAGAACAGGCCTTCGTCAACAAAGCAATGAAGCACAAGAACTACACAGTATTACTTTCATAATCGTGTCTGAGGATATCTTAGTATAACCCCGAGAACATGGCACAGCAAACTACAGGATTGCTATCATGGAGGTGGAGATGGGGAGTTTGAATCCTGAAACACAGGAACTAATCTAGAACCAGGGACTTCTACAGCTTTTTCAGGGAGAACTCAGTCTATAACTTGTTCACTTTCCTACCTAAACCAAAGTGATCTATAAAGACCTTGCCTTTAACCAAAGCGTTGAACACTTAAACCAAGTTTGAACAGTAGGTGCCTGAAGCAGGTTGTTGGAGATCTGGGGAGTAGCTGGGCAGTGATTCCATAACCTATGAAATGCAGGTGAATGTTGAGCAGACTGAATATTTTGTCATGTGAGGAAGCAGTTGACATGATTTAGTGCTACAAGTGGACTAGTATAGAACACAGAAGGAAATGGAGGGATAATACGAGCATAACATAGAAGAAGAGAAGAGAAAGACCACACGGGATCAAAATGTACATTTCCATTACATTAGGCTAAAGATTGGCTTATTTGCTAATGAGGAGAAACTGGAGTGAATACAAGCTAGTAGTCTTCATATATAAAAAGTGCTTGGGAAACAATAAGAGGTGGAAGGGGGGGCTCAAGACCTGAGTATAGGCATTTCTCAAAAGAAGTGTAAATGGTAAATAAAATGAAAAAGATTCAACATCAATAATTAAGTCAATTTAGAATAAAAATAGTTTGCCTTTTGGAACAACAAATTGGCAGAGTTTTTATTATTTTAAGTGATAATACCCATTGCTGGTAGAAATGTTGTGAAACAGTTTCTATTCTGTTGATGAAAATAATAGAGCACCTTTGCTGGATGCTACATCAAATACTTTGGAAAATGTGCTTCTAACCCAAGAATTCCCCTTCATAAAATTAAACCTAAAAATTAGTTAAGAATGTGCAGGGGATATAAGTATAAAGATGCTCACTGCTGTCTGTAATGGTGAAAATTAGAAGCAACATAAGTGCCCAATAAAAAGGGATAATTTAAATAAACTATCTGTTCACACAGTGACACACTGAATTTGGTGGTATGGAACCATACTTACTGAAAAAGAAACATTTTCACCATAAATTGTCAAGTGAAATTATGGGTATGAAATAGCATGCATACTATAATCCATTTAAAAAAAAGAGTTTGGAAGAATAAAAACAAAGATATTAATGATAGTTGGTTCTAGGTTTTCTTTTTGCTTGTCTTGTTTTTTCCTGATTTTTCTATAATGAACATAAGGAAAAAAGGAAAGATATTTAACATTCATATGTAATGTGAATGTCTGTTGAGTTGCACAGCACTCCTAAGCAAGCTTTGCTGCTCAGAAGGGGCTGTACATATTCCAGAAATGTCAGGGTTTATATATTTGAGTTAGAAACGCCAGTTGGCTCTCATCTGGTTATGACCATGGAGTCTGCTTTTAATTATATAAAATAGCATCTTTCGTAGGTAAGGGGAACAAATTCCAGCCATTCCGGGGGCGAGAGAGAAGAAGGAACAGAGAAGGGGAGTGAGGAATATTATATTTTATTTTTACTAGTTTATATTTAAAGTAACCTCAGGATTTAGATGGACACCTTGTTTTGTTTTCTAGGCCAAACACCAGAGCACCCTAGAAGGCTTAACTAAAAGAATGCTCATGTTTGACCCAGTCCCTGTCAAGCAAGAGGCCATGGACCCTGTCTCGGTGGTAAGTTTTCCAAAATTAAACACCTCTTCTTATTTATTCCAAGTGGTTATAAGATTATTGTGTTTTGTGTTATTGCTTAAAGTTACTCATTTCTTGACAGGCATTTGATAGGCAAACTTTTCTCAACACCCCTGGTAGTAAGTGAGGTAAATACCCTCCTGTCAACTGTGCATCCTTCAATAAAAGGGATCCATGTTTCCTTAAGACCTGTGCCCCACATTCCCCAAGATATGATCAGCTCAGAACTTGGGCCACAGGCGAATCTGGTCACGACAGAGGTAGGTTTACAAAAACTCCTCAGTTACCAGTTTTTTCATTTGGGATCTCAGGATTATTGGTTTTGGGGAAAAAAGATTTGGCCAGGCTGATTTTTAAAAATGAATGTGCGTCTAGGAACGTTTTAAAAACCTGTACGCAATGTTTATCATGGTTAGGAAGCAGTTTCCAAATGTACCTACAAGAAATCTGCATCAAGAACATGATTACTTAAAAGTGGTTTTACTTAAGATCACCAATCCGATGATATAGAAGAGTTTCTTTAAAATGTTTGTGAATGTCTTTTTTTTTTTTTTTAAATCCTGGAAGAAAAACATTATTCATTCAGTCGGGTCTCATGTAGGATGTCCTTCACAGAGCTCATTAAAAAGATGAAGCCTGGAAAAGAAAAAACTCCTCAGTCCTTTTGCATGTAAAAATATATTAAGAATAAAATGATTTGCTTAAAAAGGGATGACAGGAGCCATATGGAGCTATGGCTGTATGAGAGATGACTAAGGAGAAGCTAGCGAAAGAATGAACTTGGCAGTGAGGATGGAATTTCGTTTCAGTTGGAAGAGTCTGAGGCTGAGAGAGAATTATGTTCATTGTCTTTTTCATCACCTTAGCGCTAACACCCCTCTCGTAAGCCAGGCCCCACTAGATGCTTTTCAGCCACCGGGAGACTAGTAATTAGTCCAGGTGTTTATATAGGTACAACGCTAGTGCTGTGGAGATGGGACATGGGTGACAACAGAAAGGTGTCTGACTTCCAAGCAGGGAGTGGTTTAGACTTGAGGGGATCTGGTTTAGTGAATATGAAATATTAAGGCAACGCTCCCACTCTGTCTTGCTCTTTTCTTCCATGAGCTTGGAAAATATTCACAAGGGGGAAAACTTGGCCTGAGTTGTGTATCTGAAGGTTGGTAATGACACGCTTGCAAAATTAGATCATCCTTATGCATTGGCTGTGGAGATTCCTGCCAAAAATGTTTATACAAGACATGGAGGTCACTCTGAGGCCCTTGGAACTGAGTTGCCGTGGATATTACTAAGCCAGTGAAGTGTTTACCACTGTGTTCAATGAAAAGTTAAGTCAGAGTGGCTTTAAGGAAATAACATTTACATTCCAGCGTGATAACTGGATAACTGAGTGTCTGAATATGGTAATAACTGAGCAATAAGAACTTTATTAATCAAAAAACTAAATTGACTTCTAATGTTGTTCGGTGCTGTCATCGTTTTCATCCACCCCTTTCCCCCAACTATTGCATGATCACGTTGGAGGAAAATTAAGGTATAAAATTTCCCCATTAATTATATCCTTAATGTGAATGGGTTTTTAGTACTGGAGAATATGATTAATTTTATAAATGATGCAGAACCATCAATGATGCATTTTACTATTCAGTATACTTCCAATGCCTTTAATCAAGCATGAAAATATGGCTCAGGAGCCTAATTTAAAGCTAAAATGAAGATCCACATTGCTAAGTTGGTATGATATAATTAAGTGCAAGGAAATGCACTTAACTGAAAAAATGGAAATAAAATGAATCTGAAGTAACAGTTATACTTGTAATGCTGTAACTTATATTAATACACGAAGTTAAAATATGTAGAGGTATTTTTGCAATTAGTGGTCTTTTTCTCCTTCACGCTCTAGTTTTCAGCTTCAACTAACTATTATAGAATTTAATTAAATTGTTTCACCAAAAGTTAGTGTCATTCCTTACCATGAAGTTTCTTTTTCTTAATTCAGTGAAACCTCAGTTAACTGCAACATTTGGGGAGTAGGGTGTTATGATTATTTTACTTAATAAAATTAAGTAAAAAGCTTTTGTTTCCACTCTTTTTTTTTTTTTTAAATTTAATGGAATTTCCACATTTCATTTATATTTATTTATTTTTTCCCCCAAAGCCCCAGTAGATAGTTGTATGTCATAGCTGCACATCCTTCTAGTTGCTGTATGTGGGATGCGGCCTCAGCATGGCCGGAGAAGCGGTTCCTCGGTGCACGCCCGGGATCCGAACCCGGGCCGCCAGCAGCAGAGCGCGCACACTTAACCGCTAAGCCACGGGGCCGGCCCTGTTTCCACTCTTAAATCTTCATATTTCTTCTTTCCTGCCTGCATAGGTGGAGTGTATTAAACCTAATTTATCATTGCTTTTTCTTTTTAATTCTGTCTTTGACCTGAAGGTTGACCTCTTTGGTTTTTCAGGTCAGTATTCTAACATTTGTAAGATTTTTTTAATTCCACATATGAATAAAAATATTTTACAGTGACTTATCCTCCCCCGTCCCTCCCCTTTTTCTTAAAGGGAGAGCACAGCAGAAGAGTCTGCCTCTGGGATTTTCTATAGTAGTTTAGAGAAAGTGAGGAACTGTCATTTCTCTCTTGCCAAAATATCAGCCTTCATACCGTCCTCTGCTGACCATTGTGCTTTGGAGCAAATGGTAAGGCTTCGGATTTTCCTGTTAAAATTTTCAAGAACGGGGAGCCTTGTAGACCCTCCTTCCCCCTGTGCTGTGGATCTCTGGTACTTACTATCAGTGTGATGTTGGCAAAACTACCAGCAGCTCCCTGAGCCTCTGCTTTTTTTTAGTTTGTAAAATTGGAGATTATAATTTGTAAAAGATGAGACAGCACATGGTTATAAAATGCACATGTGAAGGAATTGTTTTTACCAATACATTTCCAAAGAAGGTTGAACATTAAAGAATTTAATTCAGGCTATGAGAAAGAAAACAAATTTTTAAAAAGTATTTTTATTGGGGCCGGCCCGGTAGCGCAGTGGTTAAGTGCACAGGCTCTGCTTCGGCGGCCCGGGGTTCGCAGGTTCGGATCCCGGGCGCGCACTGACGCACCGCTTGTCAGGCCATGCTGTGGCGGCATCCCATATAAAGTAGAGGAAGGTGGGCACGGATGTTAGCCCAGGGCCAGTCTTCCTCAGCAAAAAAGAGGAGGATTGGCATCGGACGTTAGCTCAGGGCTAATCTTCCTCACAAAAAAAATAATAAGTATTCTTTCTTATTCTATTCCTATAAGAAAATTACTTTTGAAGAAAATGTATTCCTTTTCTTTTCTTTCTTTTTCTAAATGAAAATTGTCATCTCACAGACTCCTTGCAGATTGAGAAGTGCTTAAAATCAGTAGTTCCTCTCCTGTGGAACTTTTCGTGACTTTTCTGAGCCTAGTAGAAAGAGAGCTTTCTACTTTTGTTTGCATAGGGGCATGACATTTGCTGTTTCCAGAGAGTGTGTTTATAAATGCACCACGCCTTTCTGCACTTGGAACCCCACCCTTGGTATGAAGATTCCTTTGACTTGCCATCGCCCTGTCACAGATGTTCACCTTTTTTTCATACTAAGGAATAGTGAAATGGAGACTTCATCCATGTTGTGTAGTCATTCCATCCACTGCAACAGACTCGTAATGGAAAACTCACCTAAACTATTCGCAGTAAAATAAGAAACTAGTGAAATTCTCACTTTAGTATAAAGTGACAGCTTTGGAAAATTATTCAAACCCTGTGTCTTTTGCCCTGTCACAATTAAAATCATTTTTTCAAGAATCAAAAAAATTGGTATTATCCTTCACCTTGTCAGTTGTAAAACCTTGCTCAGAGTCTGTGTTGGTTCACTTCGTTCGTTCGTCAAGTATTTATCGAGCATCTTTGCCAGGCCCTTGTCTCCCATACTAGTGAGAGGAAGCAGTCAGCAAATAAACACACACGGTGTGGAGGTGCTAACACTTGACTGCATGTTACAACAGAAGGAAAGAACTTGTCTCTTAATAACAGATCTTTTTGAAAAGTAAACCCATTACTACTGCCTAGTGGGGGTCGGGAGGTGGGGAGACCCTTACTCCAGTCTTGTCTTCAGGCTGCTCTGTTCCAGCACAGGGGGCTTCCTCAGGGAAGCAGTATGCCCATGGGACACCGGATGTCCATCAGTGGCCACAGGCACGTTTTCCACTTTCTCAACACATGCCTCTGACTTGGATATGGGGCCAGTGCAGCCAAGCTTATATGCATTGCTTTGTTAGAAGATAGAAATGATCTGGAACAGAGAGGAAGCAACTATTACTGGGGTGTACCCACCCAAGGCACACATCTCAAGCAAGCCCTGTATCAGTCCTCACGCTGTGGAGAACCAGATTGTTGCAAGCTGATTGCAGTAGCTGGTGTGCTCCACCCAAATAATTAAAGCAAGCTTGTCTTAGAGAAGGTTCTGTTCAACATTGCTGTGAAATTTGCTAGTGAGACAGTTTGAGGAACCACATTTCTTCACCCCTTTGTGAGGCAGTCAGACTGGAAATAGTTAATTGTGTACTCAGTTGTGTGTCCAAATGCATCTCACTAGTTTCAGCCCTGTGGCCATACAAACACCGCACATCCGTGTAGGGGACGGAGCGTTCCCTGGAGAGCAGACTCTCGGCGATGTTTACAAAACTTGGCTTTATGTGTGTCTTTCTCTTTCTTTATGGCTTGAGAAACCTGAGAATATTATTAAATTTGCAAATCTCCCAAGTTCTAAATTCCTACTTTCCTTAAACTCACCCCACAGATAGAAAAATCCAGCAATCACAGCAATAAAAGTGTGTCCTCATTTAACTTACTATTTAGCTGCCAATAACTTGGCATTAAAATCTAGGTCATAGGGAGGTCTTTGAAGAATAGGGCTGAAAATAAGGGAGAAGCTACATTTTGGTGAGTAGAAACAATTAATGCTGCCTCCCATTTCCTGAAGTTTTTTTTTTTCCTAATATCAGAGCTTTTGCCCTTTAGAGAATTATGTAAAGCAGGTTAAACTTTAGAACTAGGAGAAATCTTTTTTCCCCCTGTATTTAATTACTTCCTTAAGCCCTCCTTGTACATAATTTGTAATATTTTTTTGTTAGTGAACCTTGTGCCTCTTTTAATATTGCCTATTTTAATACTTAAATTTACATATATTTAATATTAATATCACAGTATGTTTTGGGCCTCTCACCTTGTAGTGTACCTGTGTGTGCTGGTTCTAAAGAAAGATAGAAATAGTCTTTTCCTTGTTTGATCCTTGGTACATAACTCAAAGCTGTTTTTAAACACAACAAAATATTTTTATATATATTATGTATTTTGTATTTCCTGATTTTATATCCTTCATGTCCTTGTCTTTAAGCAGTATTATTAGTGAAAATTCTTTTCTCCCCTTAAATTGTATCTAAATGATTTACCAAATTTTAATATTAAAAATTCATATCTTTATTCTATATCTCTATCATTGAGAGCCGTGCTATTGAAAGGGTGGTCTCTGCACCTTGGGCCACTCCCCAGTAATTCAGAATCTGCATTTTAACAAGATCCCTAGGTCAATTCCTTTGCACAGTAGAGTTTGAGAAGCCCTGATTGGGAGGATCAAAGCCCATACAGTGCACATGTCTTGTATAAGAAAGAAAGAGAAGGGACTCCTAGGACCATAGTGTGTGTTAAGCTCATTACATAGGTTATCCCGTTGAATCCAGTTTTAATTTTAACCTCACTACCTGCTGGAAGGTGAGCATTCAATACCACCCTAGCAAGTTTTGCCATATCCTCTTAGTACCTGCAGTTCTGATATTTAGTTAGTAATTTTTCTTGCTCTCTTTTATAGAATTGCTTTTTTAACATAATAAATGTCTTTTAAAAGGGAACTTTATATCACTACTATAAAAAAAACAAAACAGTATTTTCTTATGCATATAAATAAACATATAACTATTTTAAAGCACTGTTTGTTCATCCTGTACCATCTATAACCATCTTCAGTATCCCCAGAGAGATGTGCACCAGACTGCAGGAATCTGTTCTAGGAGATTATGCAGATTATGATGATATGGATAAAGAAAGAAAGGACAGAAGAAGAAAATACATAATCTTTTTTTTTTTTTTTTTTTGAGGAAAATCAGCCCTGAGCTAACATCCATGCCAATCCTCCTCTTTTTGCCGAGGAAGACTGGCCCTGGGCTAACATCTGTGCCCATCTTCCTCCACTTTATGTGGGACGCCGCCACAGCATGGCCTGACAAGTCGTGTGTTGGTGCGCACCCGGGATCCGAACCTTGGCCACCAGCAGCGGAGCGTGTGCACTTAACCGCTACACCATGGGGCCGGCCCCCAAAACACATAATCTTAATGATGAGAAGCTGACATCAGAACCAGATAAAGATAAATACTGCCTGGCCCCCTACTCCCTGATACTCTGATGCTCAGTAGGCCTGGAGTAGAGACCAGGCCATCTGAGTTTTGAAAATAGCCCAAGTAATTCTCATGCATAGCCAGGTGGAGATTTCATCTAGTGAGGAAAGGGTGTGATCTCACCAGTAATTCCAGTCGGAAGCACTGCTACCTCAGAGTTATTTATAACTCACTGGAGGGGCCGGGGAGGCTCAGAAATTAACAGTGCATTTAAGCTGTTTAATTATAAGGCCCCATTGGTGGGTTTTCTGGGTTGTATCTTGAGCTAGTATTGCTTCAGAATCATAAACGCATAGGATTTTAGAGCTGGAAGAGAGGCACAGTATGTTGCTTATCCCTTTCACTATAAGACATTCAAATACAGTTTTCTGCAGGCGGACTTGATATGTTATCACTAAAAATTTCAGTTTCCCTGAAATGCCTACAAGTAAAGAAAATGGCTTGAGTTTACTTTGTAAAAAAGCATTCTACAACCAAGAATTTTTTTTCATTTTAGTTAAGGAATAGAAGTAATTTTAGTGAACCCCATGGCCAAGGGTAGTACATAGTGTACGATTATTATGATTGATTTATATTTAAAGCTGGTAGCTAAGAGTTAGGTTATTCTGATATTATAAGAGAGAAAGGCGGGGCTGGCCCAGTGGCGCAAGCAGTTAAGTGTGCGCACTCCGCTGCGGTGGCCCGGGGTTCACCGGTTCGGATCCCGGGTGCGCACCAACGCACTGCTTGGCAAGCCATGCCGTGGCGGCGTCCCATATAAAGTAGAGGAAGGTGGGCACAGATGTTAGCCCAGGGCCAGTCTTCCTCAGCAAAAAAAAAAAAAAAGAGGATTGGCAGATGTTAGCACAGGGCTGATCTCCTCACAAAAAGAAAAAAAGAGAGAAAGGTATTTGAAGGTAAATTAGGTTAATTGTGGAACAGATCTTAGATTTTGGAGGAAACAAACCATTTTGCCTCTCCTCCAGTAGTTTGTTAGGTTGTCCTCTAGCCTCTTTCCATGAGAGGGTAGCAAGGTTTAGAGGAGAGAGCACTGGGCCTCAGCTTGTGTGCAGGTCACTTCGAGCCTCACGTGTCCTTATTTGAGTTATATGAGCTGTTTCTTACCGTTCTGTGTCATCCACAAATTAGGAAATCAAGTCATCTCCTACAGCTTCATTCAAGCTATGAATAAGACCATTGAACCAATTGGGTACAAGGACATAACTACCCTAGTGTGGGTGGCCTTCAGTATATGGGTGTGTAGGGTAACTGACCATCCTGGTTTGCCTGAGACTGAGGCATTTCCTGAGATGTAGAACTATTAGTGCTAAAACCAGGACAGTCCCGGACAAACCAGGACTCTTGGTCACCCTAGACATGGATTGGTCATTGGCTAAAGTACCATCCAGAGGTACTACCATCAGCTCCATTCTCCATATTATACACAAGTGTATCATGAGAAATGTTCAACATCCTGCTGCTGAGATGAAAGACACTAAAGCTAGAGAGCATTTCCTGCCAATTATGAAACCCCATCAGAAAAGCAACAAGCTTAGTTGACCTGACTGGTTCTTGGTGAACCCCAACACTGACTCTTAATAATAAAGGCCCATAAGCCTTCTGTTTTAAAATCCGTTTTAGAATTTTGCCAGATATCAGCCTCGAACTTGGCATTTGACATAGAAATCATCTTAGAATTAAATTTGAGATTTTTCATGTGACACAGTAACCACATTAACCTTAGTTCTTATGTTTATCAGACCAGCTCTCCCATAGCATTTTTTTAAGGTCAAGCGTATATCTAAATCCAAACTACTTCTTAAAGCCCCTGTAATTGAAAGTGCCTTATTGTATATTTTCATCTTAATTCATGTTTCAAGCTCATGCGCTTATTTGACTGTTTACATGTTTCTGTTTGTCCTTTCCAACAGTCATACCCGTCTAATTACATGGAGTCGATGAAGCCTAACAAGTATGGAGTCATCTACTCCACACCATTACCGGATAAGTTCTTCCAGACCCCGGAAGGCCTGTCGCATGGGATGCAGATGGAGCCAGTGGACCTCACTGTGAACAAGCGGAGTTCACCACCTTCTGCTGGGAGTTCTCCTTCCTCACTGAAGTTCCAGTCTTCGCACCGGAGAGCCTCCCCTGGGTTGAGCATGCCTTCTTCCAGCCCACCGATGAAAAAGTACTCACCCCCTCCCCCGGGTGTGCAGCCCTTCAGCATGCCGCTGTCCATGCCGCCAGTGATGGCCGCAGCCCTCTCCCGGCACGGAATTCGGAGCCCAGGGATCCTACCGGTCATCCAGCCAGTCGTGGTGCAGCCCGTCCCCTTTATGTACACCAGCCACCTCCAGCAGCCGCTCATGGTCTCCTTGTCGGAGGAGATGGAAAATTCCAATAGTAGCATGCAAGGTAAATTCTGCTGCTAATCCACACTGCTGCTCCCACTTAGTGTACATACAGGGTCTTGCCCACCCAGACTGGGTGAGAGAGCAAAGAGCCAAGAGCTGTTGAGCTCTTAAAAGGAAATATTAGACTTTGAGTCTGCTTAAGGCATTTCCTTTTTTTTTTAAGTGTTGATACTGGAAGAGCTCCCAAGAATCAGGCTGTCTGTTTAATGCCATGAAATGATTACTTTCACTCTGTAATTGTCAGCTTTGGGGTAGTAAAAATCTTGACTTTATATTTTGCTTTATTGAATGCTGACATGGTTCTAGGTGCAAAAAGGCATTTAATAAATATTTTTAGATCATGGTGATAATTAATGGCTATTAAAAGCCACCTTGTTTACTGACTGGTCGGTCATAGGCTGAAGATTGGGGTTAAAAGGAGATAACCAAGAATCAAAAGGGAAGAATCATTTTGGGGCTGATGTCTTAAAAGTCCAGCTTTCTATGTATGCTGCTTGCTGGCAAAATAGTGATCAGAAGAAATAAGAATCCCCCACGGATTCCTTTCTGCTGTAATTTTGCCAAAGGCAAATAAATGGTCACACATCAGTGTTGTAGGTAGAAGCTGTGCCATCAGCTTTTAAGAGCTGAAATTGGTAAATTGTATCCAGAGTGACTTTTCTATTTTTGTTTTTTAGTACCTGTAATTGAATCCTATGAGAAGCCTATATTACAGAAAAAAATTAAAATAGAACCTGGGATCGAACCACAGAGGACAGATTATTATCCTGAAGAAATGTCACCCCCTTTAATGAACTCAGTGTCCCCCCCGCAAGCATTGTTGCAAGAGTAAGTATATTTAGGTCTACCCTGCATTTGCATAGCAGCGTGCATCTTGGGACCTGGAATGGAAGCACGAGCTTCCAACACATGGTGTGGTGTGGATTGCCAGGAACACTTTGTAGCCATTGGACAAGATGGGAGACTCTCTCCAAAAACAATGTCCTCTGTTACATCAACAGCATTATGACAATTATGTCAAGTTTTCAGTGAATTGGTCATCTATGATTTGCCGTCTTACCACATAAATCGTTTTTATCTTGGTTTTTTCATCCTTCCGGACTATATATACCTAGTTTTCTCATAATCTTAATCCCAACGTGGATTGAATTTGGTGTTCTAGATTTTCCACTTAAGGTTGGATCATGAAAACTTTTCACGTGGGCAGCACATCATCCTTCCAGTTGTCACTTCTCATAGAATATACTGTTTCTACGATAGGGCATGTCTTTAATTAGAATTTTCAGGCCAACCACAAGCCCAAGAAAGACATTCCAAAACAAGTCCTGTAAATAGTGGTGGCAACAGAAGGTTGACCATGTAGCTCAGAGAAGCTCAGCATTGAAAGAAGTGTGCTGTGGTCTTTTTAATCACGTCTGCCCCTAGAATGTTCAGTCTGCTTTAGAACTGCCATCCGGTAGGAAGTTTATGCTGTATTGGTCAGCATCCAAGCACCTGAATGGTGGTTTGTTTTAGGTCTAACTTGCTGTAATGTGATGGTGCCACACACAGGTCAAATAACATCATTAATGGGATTTACTGCTATAGACATCCTTAACTTCTACCAGTGATTACCTGTGGGGAGGCTGTGTTTGTAGCAGTTAAGAAAGTAACGTTTGGATCCAACATCTTGGATCTCCCAGCTCTGCTCTCCACCATATGTGTGACCTTGGGCTACTCCCTGAATCTTCCTGCCTGTTTCCTCTTTATTTTCATTATTGGTTGTAATTATTTTTCTTGTAATTGTCGTGTCTTATGATGTCAACATGGGATTTAGTGGCCAGTTTCCAAGTACAAAGGCAACAATTATTCTCTCCTCAGTCGCTTCCGTCGTCTTCCTCCCATATCACTTTTTCTCCAACTTGAACAAATGTTCTGCCCACCTTTCTATGTTGTCTTCTCCACACCTCTCCCCTGCACAATCAGTTCTGCCACAGAATTTGAATTTTCTGGCTTTAGAACAGCTATTTTCTGGAACTTCACATATATTCTAGTTGTATCCACATTCAACCCAAGTAGGTGACTTTGTAGTAGCTCATTTATTAATTGCCCATTGCAGCAAATCATAGTCAATTTGGGGGAGGTTGTCATATGCCCTGATAGATAAAGAAGGGAGTGAATCTTCTTACCCAGTTACATCAGAGGGAGAGAGCATCTGATGAACTTGTACATTATTGCCCTTCACAATTGTGTAGCGCCCCCTTCCCCACAAAAAGGAAACTTTTCCAAGTGTTTTCAAAGGAGTTATTTCGTTCTCCCGTAACAAGCACGTGGAAGTCAGAGCAAAGAGAGAACTGATGAGCCAAGACATTAGATGACTTGCCGGTAATCACATTGTTAACAGCAGAGGGGGCCTGGGCCTCATCTGCTTCCAGATGAGTGCTCGTCCTGCCATTTTTAGCCCATATCTAGCCAATTGCATCTGCTTGTGCACTAGAGAAAGACTGACCAAATGGACATATCTTATAGGCTGAATTACTTCTTTAAGACTGACCAAATGGACATATCTTGTAGGCTGAATTACTTCTTTTTATAATGTCTCTGACAAAGTAACAGGCAACATGACTTGTAATTATTCCTGCACAGGTGATGGAAAAGATGCTGTAAAGCCAACTGTCCACATAAGGAGGGATCCATTGACTGAAAGGGGGTTATTCCAAAATCTAGGTTATTACGAATTACAATGTAAAACACTACAGAAGATTTGAAGGCAATATTCTGTGCTCTGAATGCTGCTGAAAAGAAAACACTTTTTCCCTTTTCTTTCTTATTTTAAGTAATGTTCTTTTGATGGTCTCAAGCTTGATAGCTTTTAATGATTAATGAGTAATATGCTTATTCTAATGCTGACCTAAGAATGCATTTTGCCTCTCAAAAAATTCAACAGATTAGCCACAATTGTGACATGTACTCTTCGAGTAACTGTCTCAGTGTGATTAAGTAATATCTTGGAGTGTGCCCAGTAGCAGCCCACAGAGGAAACCAGCTAGTCAGGAAAGAATCACTTGAAACCAAGTGCCTAGTACCATTGCAGTGAGGCGGCCCCAATGATATTAGCCTTAGGAAAGCCTTCCTTTACAGAGGCTGACTTGAAAATACAGCTTTGAAATCCATTTGCTTGATCATCGAGTTACAGCTTTAGAATTATTATTATTTTTTTTTGGTGAGCAAGATTGGCCCTGAGCTAACACCTGTTGCCAATCTTCCTCTTTTTGCTTGAGGAAGATTGGCCCTGGGCTAACATCTGTGCCCATCTTCCTCTATTTTGTATGTGGAACGCTGCCACACTATGGCTTGATGAGCGGTGTGTAGGTCTGTGCCCAGGGATCTGAACCCGTGAACCCCGGGCTGCCGAAGTGGAGCGCGCCGAGCTTAACTGCTATGCTGCTGAGCCGGCCCTAGAATTATTTTTAAAGGCACTCAAACATGTATCAAATTCCTGTTGTTATATATATACATGTGTGAAAATATATTTTGAGCAAAGAGCTTGAGGATCAGATTTCTCCCATTTAGTTGTGTATGTGAGTTGTAGTAAACTTAAGAGGAGTCGGCTTAGTGCAAAACAATGACTCGGTCTCTGATATTTAGTAGCCATTCTAACTTCTTGGTTTTAATGATCCCAAACAACCACTTTAAAAATAAGCAGTGAGGAGACCAAAATGGGTGAGATCCCAAGACCCTTGTAGATAGATAGCCTCAGCCTGTACCAGCATCTGGTTCTTTAGAGATGGGGCTGCCAACCACTCTTAGAATGACACTGCCTTTCAAGGTAGACATCAGCTGGAGTAGAGATGTCCTGATGTGGTGTTGGGACATCCCAAAGAAACTGCTCGTGAAATTTAACAACTATTTGCAGAGTTTGCAAATGGGTATCTGAGTCTCTAAATATTAACAGCTACTGTTTAGTAGATTTACATCTGAAACAGATACTATTCTTAAGTACTTTGTGTACATTACTCATAACAGCTTTCTGAGATCATATTATCATCATCATCCCCATTTTACAGAGAGGAAACTGAGGCACAGAGAGGATAAACACTTTGCCCGGGGGTCATAGGGACTATCAGTGACAGAGCTGGGATTTAAGTTTGGAGCACACAGCCTTTTAGCATACCTTTATATACAAAATGAGCAACTGAAAAGAGCAGTCAGACTACTGCACAGACTTAGACAGATTCTCAGCCCATAAAATCGAATAGTTGCAAGAGACTTCTAAAGTCATCTGGGATACTCTCCCACTATCCCAGAGGGATGCAAGATTTATTTAACCACTCTGTTTTTACCCTCAGCATTTTATTTCCTGAAAGTCTTAATGAAGATGAAACATTTCAATCTATGGCATCAAAGTTGAAAGTTAAAACTAACTTTTTTTTATTGAAGAATTTTAAATTAATAATTCAGCTTTTTAAAAACTATATCTGTACATAAACCCCTCACTTCTGTATTTTCTCTATTTGGTTGTACATATATATAATCGCAGTTCTTGTTCTTTTTTTTCCCCTGCTCTAGTTCGTGTTTACTTTTCTGTGTATCTAAACTTGGCTATTTTATTTTTCTGTATCCCCCCTCTGAGCAACAGGATAGGAAGGTGAAGTGATACTCAAAACTGACAGGTTTCTTTGCTAATAATAAAAGTGAGAAATAAGTAAGACCACTTAAAATAAACGCACCTTTTATTCTCTTCCTACTCACTTCTTAGCGTGCCTGAAAAAGTTATTGATAAGGGATGTGTATTTAAGTTTTTACCAAGATAAAAAAAAAAAAAAAAAGTCTCATTTCAGGGACTCCCTTTTGATTTTTATGGCTAAATTTTCTTATCCTTGTTTATCTCACAAGCTTGAGTGTTTACCCTCATCAAATTCTTTTTTTCCTTTTCACCAGTCTTTTTTCTCCGTCTACACACTTGTACAAAACATTCACATGTTGCTCGGAACATTTTAAGAACTTTAGATTCAAATTTAAAAGAAAAAAGTCTTTCATTACAGTTGGAGGCTCACTACATAAGCTTTTAATGGGTCAAGTGATTAGTCATCAGGAAAGTGAATGAATGGATTAGAACTTTTTAATAACTTACGTTAATCAGCAGAGGAAACCTGAGAAAAACTACCGACTTTTCCCAGCTCTTCCCCCTCTGCTTTTTCTCTCCACCAGCTTCCTTTCTGAAAAAGAGAAAGTTCAGAGTAACGATGTTTACCTTGGTTTGATTTCGCATCCACCCTAGAAAGGTGTGCAGATGCAGGCATGGGGGTCTGTGAGAATAATCCCCGTGAGGGAGCTGGCACTGCACTCTGGAGCCCGCGTAATGGATGAGGGGCTTCCTTGCCTGACTGCTAGCCCTGCCCTGAAGTTTTCCCTCTAAGAGGAGGAGTAACAGTACCACTAAAGATTTGTTTGTGAAGGCAGCAGTGCCTTTATATATATTTTTCTTTTTCTGGAAGAGCCAGCATTTGAAAATCAGATGTGAATTGGCGATCTTTTAAGAGACTACAACTAAATGCCAATTATGTAAAGGATAAAATGTAGAGATACAACCTACAGTGTGGTTACCTGAGACTTACAAATTTGACCTTTCACATCTTTCCCTAAAAAACAATAAAATGAAAATGGGGGCAACCTGTGAAAAAACATGGTACAGTGTTCAGCATTGCCTAGGACCACAAAATTCTATCAGTAGGCAAATATTTACTGAGGGAAAGAGCCTCTCCTAGCACTTTGCACCACCCTCTAGCGTAGCACCTAACCCTTCTTGCTGTCATTACTTATCTCCATGTCTGTCTCCCCCTAGAGTGTGAGCTCCTCGAGGGCAGGAACCCTGTTTTAATTCAGCTTTGTGTCCCGGTGCCAAGCACAGTGCCTGGCTCATGGTAGGTGCTCACTCCATGTTTGTTGAATGAATATAGCAGTGCTTCTTGGGTTGATCAGCTAATTTCTTTTTATTTATTTGTTGGGTGTTTTTGTTCGTTTGTTTTTGCCCGGTGTTGTTAATGCTTTTGGTAGACTAAAGGAAAGGAAGAACCATTCACTCAACATTTTGCATTTAACATTGGCTTCCGTAGGAATCACCCTTCAGTCATAGTGCAGCCTGGGAAGAGACCGTTGCCTGTGGAATCTCCAGACACCCAGAGGAAGCGGAGGATACACAGATGTGATTATGACGGATGCAACAAAGTGTACACTAAAAGCTCTCACTTGAAAGCGCACAGAAGAACACATACAGGTATCAGAAATGCAAGACTCACTTCATCTTCCTTCTTGAGAAGTATTACAATGGAATGTTAAGATAAACTTTCTAGCTTTCCGAGGTTGTTATACTGAAATTTTTTCAGGCATTTTGAAAGTTACCATAGTTCTGTACAAATGTCTCTGTCATGAAAATGAAGTTTTTGATAATGATTTACTTTTGTAATAATTTAGAGTAGATTTCATGGTTATCTCTGTAACAGGGTCCCTCACAATCGCTTGCAGTTCTGTACTCTCTAGTTAGGGAGAGAGAAAGGGACAGAACCTCCACTGGAACAGAGAAGAAAGTGCTCTTAACCATGGGCCTATTCATCAAGGATGTGATCTTCATATGGACTCTCATTTGATAAATGTTGTACATTATCAAATTAATAATAGCGAAAAAACAGTTCTTTATGCTGAACAAATGAAGCAGTTTATAGAAATGGAATTCAAATGGAAGACTGTCACTGAAGGAAAGAAAAGTGAAGAAATTTGGGTAATTACTCTCTTCTAAAACCGAGGGAATTTCTATGTGATTGCTTGCCATATTTGTTCTAGAGTATTTTCCATCTTGCCCACTATTGAGTATAGAATGTGCACCCAGATCTTACGAAAATTGTTGTATAGGTGAAGGAAACATAAAATTGTTCTGTGGGCTCTTGTTGAACATTTTTTAGCAAAACATCTTAAGGAATTTGTATAAAAATGTTTTAAACAACCTGATTAATTGGTATTGGTGATTAATGTTTACGGTAGACCTTATCTAACCTAATCTCAAACTCTTTGATGTGAAATTCTAGTATAACAGCAAATAACTCTGTGTATATTGTCCTTAACTCAGAATGTGGATTTTTTTTTTTTTTGAGTCTTATGAGTTATTCTTATTAGGCATATTTAAAAGAGGAGAATCTGGGATTTGGAGGAGAAAAGGAAGGAAAGTGTCAGACAGAGTGGAGGAAGTTTTTCAGTGAATCCTGGGGAGAGAGGCTGAGGGAAAATCATCCTCCGTACAGCTGTTCTTTGGCTTTGTCATAATGCTACCAAGGAGAGAGCTGAGGGTGATAGCCATATGTTATGAGGAACACCCAATCAGCAAGGCTAAATAGAGTTATAAAAGCATTGCTGGGGCATTAATGGGACCCAAGAGGTGGATGTTACCAAAGTCCAGCCTAAGATTAAAAAGACATTGACTATTTGGATAACAATTCAGATGTAGGAAAAATGCCTCCTAGCATTTATTTTCTGTGCAGCAAAGCAGACAATACAAATTCTGAATACCTAATTGAAATACCAAGGAATGGCAATCCTGTAAGATTTCTGGAGAACAGGGGATAGTAAATGGGAATTAATTTGTGATGTCCATTATTACTAATTTAAACATGTAAGATTGCCATTAACAGCCTTTTTATTTGTAAGGGCCTTTATCCTGGCTCTCCCTATGAGTTTCCCACTAGGGTCTTCTGTTCCTCACCTGCAAATTACCATTATCCCACAGGAAGGACTTGGAGAAACCTGGCTTCTGACAGGGTGGGGAGGAATTACTGTATTTTTAGTACTTCTGAATCAAAGCATTATACTTAGGCGTAGGTGTTATTGACTTAAAAAAGATGTTGAAATCCCTGACAGATAGTTCAGTTGATGGAGACTTCATATTTTTAGAAAACTATTGAAAAAAATAAAATCTCACAAACTTTCAATTTGGACTTCTCATTAAGTGGATATAACCAAGCTCTTAAGTCAGTTTAAGACTTGGAGATATACAAATACAGATCACCAGGTGTTTCTTAAGTCATTTATCCTTACTGTTGAAGACAAAACCAAAATTATTTAGCCTCTCAGAATGGATTTTGGTGCCTTTATGCTTTAAGAACCCTTAAAATCCACCCTCCCCTTTTTATGGCAGAGAGCCAGTTAAATAGTAAGAGGATTCATTCATTTTTTTCTTGCTTGTCCTATAGTGGTTTATAAGGCACTTATATTGATGGACAAATATATGAATATATCTTGGAAATAATATTCATCAAGAGGTTTAGCTCAAAAATCTTAACTTTACAGTCAGTGTTTATTGATTAATATCCTTTTGCTTTTAGAAAAAATAAACTCTTTTCTTTTTTGCAGGAGAAAAACCCTACAAATGTACATGGGAAGGATGCACATGGAAGTTTGCGCGGTCTGATGAGCTAACAAGACATTTCCGAAAACATACTGGAATCAAACCTTTCCAGTGTCCAGACTGTGACCGCAGCTTTTCCCGCTCTGACCACCTTGCCCTACATAGGAAACGCCACATGCTGGTCTGAATGCCGCTGTCTCCCACCTCTACGCGGCTCCCCACTCTCCCGGCTCTCTCTCTGTCCTCCTTCCATTATCTAACTCGTTTTTTACATGTACGTTTTAATTTTGATTCAGCTGGTCTGAATCTCTGGATTTATATCATTCAAACTTCCATATGGTCAGTAGTACATACTCTCTAATCCTTCCTCTTCTTACCACGGGTCAGACCTAAAGAATGTGAACACTCTTTTTTTTTTCCGGGGATGCTAAGCAAACCCTTCTTACAGATACGTTTAATGTAATGAAAACAAGGGAACATGTAAACTAACATCACCAATTGTCAGTTTCTCCATGTATTCCTCAAAAGAATGTCAAAGTAAATGTATGAGAAATACAGTATCCAGCCTGCTAGTCCTTGCCGGAGACTTCATACCTCTGTGCCCTGTGATCGCATTTTGTGCTTGACAGTGGAAAGAAGGGTAGACCCTTTCACAGGTTAGCCAGAAGTGCAGCAAGATTTCAGGCCAGAACAACCAACTCGTCCATTGTCCTTCGTAAATCTTGCTTGTAAACTTGGATTTATCACTTCATCTAAATTAAGTCGTTTACCCACCTTTGTGCCTGCAGCTAATATGGAGGTCTTTGCCACCATTGGGAGAGGAGCGAGAGCTGCTGATTTAGGTGGATGATGTCTATCAGTTCAAGGGATGGATGCTGTACTCGCGTAGCATGGAGTCGGAGCGAAGGGGCATTGAGCAGGGGTTGGGGGGGACAAAGGAGGAAGCTGGCCATTTCTCCTGGGCTAGGGGTTCTCGATGTGATTTCCTCATTTGGTTAGTTGTGCAGTGCATTCCCAGAGCTTCAGTCTCTGTGCACATTCATCTGTGCAGAACCAGACTGCAAAGCCAAATACCAATGGGTTATCCACACACCTATCTCCATTCCTACAATGGCCTTAATGTGGGTCATCAAGCATTGATAGTAGGGATGCCACAAAAATATTTACTTAGTAATGGTAAAAGATCTTTTGGGTAAGAATATGGATGGCCTTTCTTTTACCCAACACACTTATAGGTTTTTTTGCAAACAGGGAAATGCTGAGTGGTAATTGTATTCCCATAGCAGATTAATTATACCTTTCATACAGAAACTCTTCTGTGTGAGCTGTAAAGTGCCAAATTGGCTGTCATTTGTGTTCATGACACATATCATAAATAAGCATCTGCTAATGCTTTAGTAGATTCATTCAATTTAAGACCTGAGTGACACTATTTGTAAATATAAATAGTTGTGAAGCGCACATACCTTTATTTAGGGAGCAGATTTCCGAAAAATATAGAAAACTACAATTCAGGGATTCAAATATGTAGCTCAAAAATTCCCAAACGTTTACTGCTGGAGGTGGCAATCTCCTGTCACTATTGAGTATCCTGTCAGAAGAACAAACTGCAAATGACTCGTGTTTATGGTCAAGATAAATGACACCAGTATTTGGGGGAAGTTTTTCAAAAGCAGGCTTTTGAGTACCATAGTCTAAATGCCAATAAAATAATTCATGCATAGAAATGCCATTGGTCCTAAATTTGAAAAAAGTGGGCAACGGTGGTCAAATGTGGGTGCATATAACCAAATGCGCCTTCATCCTTCCATAAAAGATGGAGAAGAGAGAAGAATGGAATCCTGAAGATTCATCCCAGCCACAACTCAGGATCCAACACAACCTTAACTGGGAGGAATACACTTACTGCTCTTAAAACATCAGTGAATGAGTCATTCTGGAGGCCTTCGAAATTGTGTGGGGAGCTTGCTTTGAGGGCACCGTGTTAATAAAAGTTAGTTGTAGGGACTGTGCACCTAAGAGATCCCACCCATCAGCCCTCTGAACCTACTGGAAGGAAATGTAGTTGAGAAATGCAAAGTAATTTGTTATCTTGGCACTTGGTTTTTATTTTTTAAGCACTGCAAAATTTGTTTAGAATATTAAAAACAATCTAATTGGGCTTTTTTTTTTGCAACCATGACATGAATTGAGGGATAAAAATGGTTCTTGGAAAAATAGGTATTGTCTGTATTGTAAATGCTTAGTCACATTCATGCCAAAGTGTTTATTTCTTGAAATGGTTCTTCCACAATACATGGAAGAATTAAGTAGGAATGCAAGGAACTTTTTTGTTTTGATGGAGATAACCAGTTTATGTGTTCCAACCCATATAGAAGGTGGGAAAAGGGGCGAGAAAGGGTAGAATTGATCTTCTTTGAATAATCAGCTTTGAGTCTGAGTCCACTTAATAGAAAGCTTCATGAGTTCTCATGAAATTTGATGTGTTTGCTATGGCATATTTAAATTTGCTCAAAAGAATAAGTAAGACCCTGCAAAGACTCTGACTATTCAGCTTGCTTAGATTATGTTAACAGTTCATTAACAAAGATCCATTTTATCTCTGTAAGAAAAGCAACCCAGAAAGGCCATTCTCTGTTCCCATGCTGGTCTATATACTTCAGTTACCAATTGGCTCTTACCAAATTTTCTTTTTTTATATATATTTGTATTTTACTATGATAGTTGAGAAATTTAGTCTCTTAGTCATTCTTAGCTGTTATTGAGGAAGACCTCAAATACAAGATGAAATGCCCTTGAACATGTGGTTTGGATGATGTGCCGTGTTACTATCAATGGTGATTTTAATTGTAATATGTTAAATTGATGAGAATGATTTGTAAACATGAAGTTAGTATTGTATAAATTCCATTTGTTATAGAATTTCTTTGATTATCATCCAAGTGTCAACTTGGAAAAGAAGTCAGAAAAATTAAATCTGAATCCATCATATCTTAGAGTTCTAAAATGTGAATCTACATCATCAATGGGCATTAACATTCTAAATCACCTGGTTTGGAGAATGTGTTAGCAGTATAGCTATGTTCAACTAAGGAATTGCTAAGTACACAGAAGTTTCAAGAGCCTTGGAACAGATTTACAGGGGAACTATATATGTACATGTATATTTTATTAAACACCCATCTGCACTATCAGTGTTGCACTAATGTGGAATCTGAAAGACCATATTGCTGATACTGTATATCTGCACATCATTCTTAATTAGATTGTTTTAGACAATCTTAAAGATCTAATGTTTTAAAATAATTTGGTTGGTTTGAAAATAGATAGTCATCTTGAAGGAAATGCTGTCATACATGAAGTTGCTCAGAGTTGTCTTTATTCTCTTCTTGGTCAAGGTTAACAATTTCTAAATGATTGCAAATTTACTTAAGAAATAATACATTTACAAAGCCATTTTACATGCATTAAACGAGGGCTACAACAATATGTTTTACAAATACTAGCACTTTTTGTTTTTGTTTTTTTTGCTGTTATGTACTTAGTGTTAGAGGGTCAAAATAATCTTTCTGCTTAGCATCTCTTAAACTATACCTGCAAGTATAGCAGGATTATTACATTTACAGTACTTTAATACTTGTATAAACTATGCAGAAATTTTTAATAAAGTGTAATATATTTTATAAGCTAATAAGACTGAGTGGGTAAAGGTTTTTAGCATGCATTAGTATACTTGCAAATACTGAAACATTTTGGTAATCTTTCTTACTAAAGATGTGAATGTTTAATGTACCTTCTCTGTTTCTACTCTGTAGTCCAATGGGAATTCAGTAATGACATTTTGTCATGTCAAACTGTGAACATAAATTTGTACTGTACAGTCCTCATATACTATATACAGTATGCAATATATGTATTATATACTTGTTAATAAAACCATCAGAATATTAAGTGTGATCATGTGATTACTATATATGCAGTGATCACTAGGAACAAAACTTAGCATGTAACATGTACAAGACCATACTTAGAAGTTTCAAAGTAAATCACTCTGTTAGGCGCTAAACGAGTTAACTCAGCCATAAAGCTATGTCCCTGGTTTTCTGATAACAGCAACAGGAAGTCTTCTGAGCACAAACCATAAACTTGTAGACAACCTAGAATAAATTTACTCAACCTGGTGCGTTCTTGGAATATTTTATGACCCCCGCCTGCTTCCAAAAAGAATTTTCAGTGCCTTGTATTGAAAGGCATATATGTAAATGTGAATAAACAAACCTTCAGTAAACCATGTGCATGGACACTGCTGTGACCTCAGCTTCACAGGAGCAAGTAGTTTCTGATGGGGATTTAGACTTCCTGTTTAAGGCAAAACATAAGAACCTCTCCACTACCCTCTCCCTCCCTCTAAACGTAATTGAAACTAAGATACTGGCTTGTTAGTTCTCTCAGCAGCTTCCTCGAGCCTGGACTTCATCTTAGCATAACATAAAATAATGTCTGTCTGGCACTTAACACATGATTCGCCTTCACGGGTTGGAGAGTGGAAGGAGGTTGGAGAGAAGGCTGAATTCAGCCTTGGGAGCACTCTCCATCAGCTTTCTCTAGGAAATTTTCTCTGCTTTTATGCTGAGATAGTTGACGGCAAGCTAAAAAGGTATTATATGTGACTGTTATATCCTAATGGAATGTTGGCATGGGTTAGTCCAGATGATTGTAATCCTCCCAGTATATTTCATATATCGGTGAGATGGCACTTGCTGAGTTCAAAATGAGACCCATCCTTCTAAGGAGATACTATGTTAAAGCTGGATTCTGCCTGGGTGAGTGATCAAAATGGTGAAAAACGTAGATTTTTCAAGAAACTAACTTCTTTGAGGAATGTTTGAACAAAGTGAGGATGTTCAGCACACACACACACACACACAAATACATAATTGCCCAATATTTTAAATGCTTTCAGGTTGAAGAAAGGATTAGGAGCCCTGCCGGGGGCAAGATATCAATTCTAGCGTGTCTTAGAGGTAAGAAGTGACTGTTCAGGGAAGGACGGGTTGAGATGGTAGTAAAAACACATTCATATAGATGTGTAAGTTAAACTATTAGAGACCAAGTGACCTGTGTGTATGCGCAAAATAATAATGAATTGCCCTTCAAGGGTACATTCATTTTAAGATGTGTAAACTGAACCTGTTACATTTCCTATTTGAGCTGACCCTAGTCATGGTGGTTGGTGATGTTGCATGGTGGTTGGTAATATGGAGAGAGTGATCCCCAAGTTAGAATGATACATGCTGTAAGTCAGAATTTTTAAACTTATTACTGTGGTGGGGAGTGGTTCTCACCAAATCTAGACATGTTTATTGCTTTGAGTGTTTCTGTTCATTACGTCCCTGGTTTTGTATTCCCACTGAGCATCCTGAGTGGTCTGGGTTAAGGATTAAAAACAAGCTGGATCTTCAGGTTCCTAGGCCATGTCTCTTTCACACTGAACACGTTCAATGTTTCTTTCTTCTCTCAAGACTTAGTGTATTAGTCAGTTCTCCAGAGAAACAGAACCAACAGGACGTATAAATATGTAAGAAGAGATTTATTGTGAGGAATTAGCTCCCATGGTTATGGAGGCTGAGTAGCCCCATGACCTACCATTTGCAAGCTGGGAACCCAGGAAAACCAATGGTGTGAGTCTAGTCCAAAGGCCTGAGAACCAGGGGAGCCAATGGTATAAATCCCCATCCAAGGGCAAGAGAAGACCAAGGTCCCAGCTCAAGCAGACAGGCAAGAAGCAAAAGAGGCAAATTCCTCCTTCCTCCACCTTTTTGTTCTATTCAGGCCCTCAATGGATTGGATGATGCCCACCCACACTGGGGAGACAATCTACTTTATTGGGTTCACAGATTCAGGTGCTAATCTCATCCAGAAACATCCTCACAGACACACTCAGAAATAATGTTTAATCTGGGCACTCTGTAGCCCAGTCAAGTTGACATAAAATTAACCATCACACTCAGGAGTTCCATCAGCCTAAGGACTTGGCTTCTAAAGAACTCTGGGAGAGGAGGCCTTTGAGGACCTTCAGGGCTCACCAATCTGCTCCAGATCTCACCTGCTGCTGCAAAGTCCAACCGCTTCCCTGTCAGTTACACGCCTCCATGGCTCTGCTCATACACTGCTTCAGCGAACTAACATCCCACCACACACTCAAACTAGCTTCTCTCACATCATCCTCAGCCCCTACTTCTTGCTCTACACACTTGACCCTGGCCTCCCTGAGATCACTCATTACACTCCAATTATTTGTTCAAGACTCTCTTCCCCACCAGAATGAGAACCCCAGGAGCTAGAGTGGGATTTGTCCACCTTCACGTCCCCAGAACCACACACAGAGAAGGCATCATTAGATAGCGGTTGAAAGAATAAGTGAATCTGAGTTCTAGTCCTAGCTTGGGCGCTAACATCTTTCTTACCCCTTCATATCCAACTGGCCACCTCTGAAACCTCTCCTGAATTTGTCCTCTCATGTCCATTGCCATTCCTCTGCCCCAGCTCGGGCCTTGGGGACTATCGTAGAAGTCCCCTCACTCTCTCACTTCAGTCATCCTCCTCCATACCAGCCACCAGGACCATCCTTCCAAAACAAAGATCTGATCATATTATTGCCCCTTTGTTTAAAATCCTTCCATGGCCCTCATTGCACCTGAACTGGTTCTTAATTCTGTTCTACTCCCTTTAAAGCCTCATCTATTATCATTAAACTTTTCTTTTTATTTTTCTTTTTTTCCCAAGAAGCTTCAAACACTCTCCAGACTCTGACTTTGATAGGTGCACAGGGTATTCAGGGAGATTCTCACCAAACTCCTACTCATCTTTCAAAACCCCAGTCAAAAGTCACCTCTTCTTTGGGCTTTCCTTGGGTGAACTCCACTCACCCTCTCCACAAAGATATTCTCTTCCTAATTCCTCTGTGTCCCCATAACCCTTGTGTTTCCCTCAATTATTAGCACTTATCCCTCTGCATTTTCAGTTTTCCCATATGTCTCCTTCCCTCACTAGATCTCTGATCATCCAAAGATGATTCTTTTCCAGGTGCCCTATGTCCAATCCCCAGGGCC